CTCTACAATACAGTGTCAAATCACTGTCTTGAAGAAGAAAGTATTATGGATAGACTTCGTTGGGAATAAGCGTAAAGCATCACGTATTATTACGAATTGAATTTACAGTTTTTTAAGTTTCTAACAAAAAATAAAGCATTGATTTCAACTAAAAAGCACACGTCTTACATAAATTACCATTGAAACTGTAATATTTTTTATAAAGTGCCATTTGTAAAACAACTCCATACATAGCTGCTGTTAAGAACGTCATGAACGGTGAAATAAGTTACATAATTGTGGTGAGCTGATAATCCTGATGAGGTATACATATTATGGTCATAAAAGCATCGACTCTTACATATACTATACATGCTTATATCCAAATAAATCGGATCTCATAAAGTGGATCACACTTAAATTGTACGGTTCCGTTACGTACATACGAAATAGCATACATATGGGCGAAGCCAGAGCCTGTTCGAAATAGACCTCATTGACTCTATTCATAAGTAGTGCTTCGTTAATCAGGGTCAGTGATGGCCTCGCATACAGAACAACTATTATAAGAGACTTGAATATATGATGTTGATAACGACGGCGTACAATTTGTTCTATTTTCCCTGTGAATTGATGAAAAATCACACGTTCTCGATTCATATTTAGAAAAGATTTCTCTTATTTAGTGGTATTATTTTACATTGTTTAGGTGCACGTTGAAATATGCCAAGTGGAATGGCTTAATACGAATAATTTCTCTGACGGTTTGACAATTTTTCTATTTCTATAAGTTAACAAAAGATTTCATTTCATTCTCCATTCTTAACATGTAATCGATTGACTTGAACGAGGAAATGATCACCTAATTAAACTTCATGCCATACTAACGCCAAATGTTAACACATATAAATGAAGTCAATATTTAAACTATTTTAAGCCTCGTATATATTCAGTAATGTCATATTTTTGACGCAATTATCCCATGGCTATAGAACACCTATGTAGGTAGTTCTATGTAGAATCTACAAATTGAATCCAAAGATAACAATACCAGTAAAGTAACAGCCTGTATATAACACAGCTGGGCAAAGGCGTCCTCTGAACATAGGTTATTAAGGCATAATCCACTACGCGACCCCACCATGGATTGGCAGACTTTTAATCAGATTTTTAATTATTATTTTGAAAATATGCAGATGAAATAAAACATTGTAATGAAACCAGTAGTACACACAAATGTTTATGTAATACATTTGATGATACGAAATTTATAAATACCTATACTACATTGAAAACTAAAAAAAATAAAGTGCTAATCTTTGCACTTAAAATGAAACATTAAAATTTGTAAAAAAAAAGGCACGAATAGTTTTTCACCGCTTAGGCAATCGAACCCTGATTCCGGATTCCCGCCCTGACTCTTTAATCACTAACCTAAACGACGAAAATGTCCTTTATCGACATTGTTTTTTCGCATTTGAAGCAATGCTTGGCACATCCATTGTTATATCCTTTAGAGCATACAAACTTAATAGCGATAGCGACATCTCTCGTCCGAATTATCATTGTAAAACGATATTGGAAATAGTTTACTTGTTTCATTATAAGTATGAATCATTAGCAGATATTTACTTTTTACAAACAACTACATAAAATGTGCGACAAGTATATATTTACGATCTTACAATGGTGAGTCTAACTGTTCGTGAGTGTCATGTGCTAGGTTACGCAGAGTCTATCTGCTGCATATTTGGGTTGCCCAGACCATGGAAGTAACACAGCTACGGGAGACTAAGGTGAATTAAAATCATTTATTTTTGCTTAAAAATCGCCGACTGAAGTAACCCACTTCCGCAACGAACCCGAAACATGGCGGCGCGGTCAAGGGCCAAGTACTCACCAGACGAAACGCGAAAGTTTAATACGTCCAATTCATGCCGGTCTTCTGAGAGCTCGCGGTATTTCTGGATCTACCTGCCCATTCGTGCAACAGCGACAGGCCCTACCACTATTAAATTTGGCGGGATAAGCGCAGGACGATGATGAACGCGACACTCCTAGTGTGGCCGTAAGTATTCCTCGCTGCCTTGACCCATATTAAATTAACTTTCGTCGTTCGGACCGTTACTCATGAATCTATTCGGACGTCATTACCACTTCGTACGAGCAGTGGACCTCTTCGTAACGAGACCACGTTGCCGAAACGCCGCGCGGCAAGCATACCCAAGTTCGAAACGGAGAAAGTCCGCCGCGCCGCGTCCGTAGCGCAGTCGAATTCGCGACGAAACACTTTCATAGTTATAGACAATCGAAACGAATCGATGCAATCATTTCGCTTTCAGATCTGTCCATTTGAATATTCGATTGGTTCACGTTTAAATACGTTTATGCAAATGTTTCCCTGTAATCATTTGAAACTGTTGTGTATGTAAATACGATGTGATTTGAATATCTCTGCATTCGCTCGCCACCTCTTTGGTTTCTTTTCGTTGATAACGTTTGAAGAATAAACCGTAAAATTTTTAAATTTAAATTTCAAAAACATTTGATTTTAAACTAATGAGCTCAAATTTTAATTTAAAAGAGGTTAGTAGACATTATATCGCGTATAATATTTAAAACAAGGCATGTACAAATCAACTGTCAAGTTCTGCTAACTTAGAATCAACTACTAACTCTGCTCTCACTGTTAAGTTATATAAAAATCGCTTCGAGTATCTTTCCTTATCCCACGAAAGGTCCCTTCGTTCTTCTGCCAGTCTCTCCCTCCAAACTCCTGTACATTCCTCTTCCTTCTTCAAAAAATCTTTTACAGTGACAGCTGTGCGTTTGTGGAATTCTTTGCCCCTTCACATTCGACAAGCTAAGTCACTTCTTTCTTTTAAAAACCTATTAAAAGCTCATTACTTGGAACTGTGAACTCACGCTTTCCTTTTTCCTTTCCTATTTTCCCCGAAATCTTTGACTATCTCATTGATGTATAAATGCCTTCATCCGATGTTCATAAGTGATTCATGTACACCTCCCTCTGCTCTCTTCTTAATGTCTCATTAGCAAATATTCTTTTCGCAATGGTTGTCTGGAAGAAATCGCTTTCTGCTCGATAAGACCGCCTATTGTACTTCCTTTTATATTCATTTGTAATTTGCTTTTCTTATATTTTTATTTTTCGTGTAAAATAAAGTATAAATAAATAAATAAAGTTACGATTGTTATATTATTTGATTAAAATAGTAGTGTTTATCCATACTAATATTATAAATGCGAAAGTAACTCTGTCTGTCTCGCTTTCACGTCAAAACTACTGTACCGATTTAAATGAAATCTGGTACACAGTCTAGATCCTGAGAAAGGACATAGGCTAATTTTTAACTGGATTTTTTTTAAAAGAAAGGTATTTATTTAAGGGCTTCAACGCGAGCGAATCCACGGGCCAAAAGCTAGTGTTTAATAAAGCACAAGCTCAAGCAGATGTGTAACTACTATGACGTTTATCTAGTTTTCAGGTAAGTTCATTAAATTGATGTATATTTTAAATAATTTAAACTTTATATGGGAGAGCTAATGGCAATCGAGGATAGCAAGGATGGCAGAATGGGCATCGATAGTAGTATTGGGTTTGCAGCCAAGCTAAAGCTGAAGAATAAATTGAGTAACCTGGGCTAAACAGCCCAGGTTACTCAATTTATTAGAGGAAATGGTTAATAAGTTACAAAAGTAGAAACACTTCTACATGGCGGCGCCCTTTGAGGGCGTAGTACTTCCGTACCACTTCTGTAATACGTCAAAAGAAGCCGCTCGTAACCCTAATAGCTTAGTATAAAATCTTCCGTGGGGAAAACGTTTATTCATCGGTATTTTTTAACATTTTAGTATAAATTTATTATTATTTCAGAGTGCTGGTAAGTAACAGCCTGTATACAGTATGTCTCACTGCTCGGCAAAGGCCTCCTCCTCTGTACAGAGGGTATCAGTGCAAAGTCCATCACACGGCCCGGATATGGATTAGTGTACTTCACATATCTTCGAAATATTTTATTTGTTATTATTTCGAAAATATGCAGATTTCCTCACGATGTATTCCTTCACCGCTGAGCACGTGATAAGTCAGCACTCAAAAATGACATTTTTATTGGTGCCGGCACCGGGAATCGAAGTCAGGTTGCTCGATTATATTGAATTAAAGGCGAGCGCCCTGAGCTATCACTCATTGACACTTTATGCCATTTTATTGCGATGATATTAGTTTAACATTTGAGCTTATCAAATGATAACAATGATAGAGCAAATGCTCTAACCAGCCCAAAGGGTTAAATGCGATTACGTGATATATTGAACGTATATGCGAAATACACAATTGTATGTATCACAGGCTATTGCCGAAGAAGATAGTAATCCCACCAAATAATCCGCCTGTATCAATAACTATTATACTAATAACTTCTTTCCCATAAGAACGCATTAAAACTCAACATGGTAATTAAAGATAATATGTTAATAAATATTTTTGTAATGAACAAAAACTTTCTACATTAATAAAAATAGAAAATCTTCTGTACAGAGGCTCAAGTATGTAGAGCGAATTAACGGAAACAATTAACGAGTGCAATTTATTTGTGTCTCAACCATTGTATACGAAATTTAATATTTATATTACATATATTTATAATTAAGATAAGGATACATTGCTCTAGAATATTGTTCTAACGGTGATATATCGGTGATAGATAAATCTCTAGGAAGAAATGTACAAGTAACTCTACAACTGACTCTACATAGACATCAGGTGGATCTTGAGCAACGTCATGGACAAACCGAGGAACTCACGAAGAGCGGAATTCTAAACGGAACTGGAACTGCTAGCCGATTTAGCGGACAGCCGTTGATTAAGATTCGTAGCGCGTACGCCTTAAAATCGCGGGGACGCGTAAGGCCGCTAACGAATGCAACTGGGTGAAAATTCGACCCGAAAGCCGCCGACCCATCTCGACGGGTGAAAGTGCGGCCGCGACTGACCTGATATGAACGAGCTGATCCCGTTCTGGGCGCTCGCTCCGCCCAGTATCCCCAGCAACAGGAGGGCAACACTCGCGCGTGTCGCTGTCATGGCGGGCACAACTGTCGAACTGTCACTTGTCACTTGTCGCCGGGCGTGTGGCAGCGAGCATGGCGTGACGACCGGTCGCCGCGTTGCGTGGGCTCGCACTGCCGGTGAAAGAAAGAAAGGCGCGCGGGAGCGTGCGTCGCGCGCACCACAGAGCAACAGGCCATGCTTTCACGCCGACGGCCCCTATTCACTGCCTAACACTTGACTCCCTCTCTGTTCCTGACTTAGACAGACGAGAGTGTTTTAAAGCGACTAGTAAATGAGCAGTATATACATAATTGGATAAAGGGTTTATGCCAAAACCGAGCACTACTAACAAGTATTTGGAAAAAAATATGTTTAATATTTTATAGATTGAGAGTTTTATCTTGCCTTTTCCTTAGTTATATGAAAATTTATGTCTCAAAGACTTATTTATATGTTCGCTCGTTACAAGATTCTGGCCACTCAAGTTAGATTTTATGTACAATGTATATATGCTATATGCTAAAATGATAGTCTTATGAAAAACTTAAAGTACTTTAGAAAAACTTTAATGTGAACAAAATCTTTCACGATGAGCAATATGGATTCACTAAAGGCAGATCGACAACAGATGCGGGCGTCGCACTTGTCAAACATATTTATAACGCCTGGGAAAGGTCACAAGATGCAATAGGTGTCTTTTGTGACCTTTCAAAAGCCTTCGACTGCGTAGACCATAAAACTCTCCTTCAAAAGCTAGAATATTATGGCATTCGTGGCATCGCCCTCAATCTCATTGCCTCTTACCTTAGTAATAGAATTCAAAAAGTATCTATAAATGATGTTAATTCCGCTGGGTCCCAGATGAAAATGGGAGTCCCACAAGGATCAATCTTGGGCCCATTATTATTTTTAGTATATATTAATGATCTCCCCTTTATGCCAGTGGGTTGTGTGATGTTGTACTGTTTGCTGACGATACATCGCTTATTTTTAAAGTTGACCGAAACGTATTAAATTATGACGACGTGAATAGTGCACTTTCACATATCCTCCACTGGTTTACTATTAATAATATGGTATTAAATGCCAAAAAAACCAGATTTATTCTTTTTACCCTTCCCAGTATAAGAAGGAAAAGTTTTAGTTTAATATTAAATAACGTACCCATTAATCCAGTTGAGTCTGCTATATTTCTGGGAATTACAGTAGATTCAAAGCTCCAGTGGAGTCCCCATATATCATCTCTTGCGAATAGGCTGAGCTCCGCGGTTTTTGCGATTAGAAGGGTTAGGCAGCTTACAGACATCGACACTGCCAGACTTGTTTACTTTAGTTATTTTCACAGCATCTTGTCTTACGGCATTTTGTTGTGGGGTAGTGCATCAGATATAAATTCTATATTTATTCTTCAAAAAAGAGCTGTCCGAGCAATCTACACTATCGGAGCCCGGAATTCACTCAGAGCTCTTTTCAAAGAGGTTAATATACTCACTGTTGCTTGTCAATACATTTATTGTAATGTTTTGTATATACGTCATAACCTTAATTATTACCTAAAGAATAGTGACAGACATAAAATAAACACTAGAAATAAGGACAAACTTACTACGCCATTGTTTCGTCTACAAAAAGTAAATAAGTCGTTCATGGGGCAAAGTGTGCGCATGTATAATAAAATCCCACAGTCGATATTAAGTCTGCCGCTTGACCAATTTAAATGTAAAATTAAAAATCAACTGATGATTAAAGCATATTATACCATTTCGGAATATCTCGACGACGCCAATGTGTGGAGTTAATACTGTTGATACTCACGTAGGCTAGAATAAGACTATTATACTGTATATTATATTGTACCCTGATATTTTTGAAAAAGAGCAACTGTTGAGTTTTTCTTGCCGGTCTCTTCTCAACAGAAACCGCTTTCCGAACGGTGGTACCTTACGAACCTATACACATAATCTTTGATGTAAAATTTGACGATTCATAAGAGCGCGCAAGCGTCTATTTGAATAAATATATTTTTGATTTTGATTTTTGATTTTGTACTAAGTAAAGTAACATGTTTGTCCCACTGCTGGGCAAAGGCCACCTCAGTACGGACGGTACTGCACACTGCCAAGCGCAAGCGACCCCACTGCCGTTTTGCGGTCTTCAGGTAACTTCGAAATATCATTTTTAAGTGTCATTATTTTAAAAAATATGCAGGATTCCTCACGATGTTTTCCTTCACCTAAGCAAGCAAAGCACGTGATAAGTCGATGGAACTCGAGCAAATTAAATTAAAAGCCCGGGCGAGCCATCGCTAGCGATTATTGACTTTAAATTTTTTTGAAACAAATTTTAAAATCAATTCGTTACGAGTCACCTCTACGGTTGGTGTATGCTCTATGAGCGAATTATCACAGTTTAACGGCAAACAGGTACGACCACGTAGAGTGCCGCGACTATGGACGATGACCACGTACCACATAATATTGCAGCAGACAAGCGACCACACTACGAGGCTAACGCTCGCAACAACAAAGGCTCTACATTAATCTCTACTATTCACACGAACACTCCACTGTGGCACCTAAGTCAGAAAAACCGGCGTTAAAAGATATAATTAATTTACATGCTACTTGTGAACTTAATACTTATGGGAAGATAGAGTAAATAGTCTGTTTAAAAAAAATTTTTTTTTTTTTTATGCGAAAAGTTGTCAACGAGCAGACGGTTTACCTGATGTTAAGTAAATACCGCCGCCCATGGACATCTGCCACACCCGAGGGTTGAGCAACCTTTTGAAAATTGGGCTCCGGCTACCTCACTAAGTATTTGTCATACTGTCACTTTACGCTGGTCTTCTGTGAGGTCGTGGTACTTACCCGGACGGGCCTGCCCATTCGTGCAACAGCCAAATCTGCTGCGTGGCCCTACCACCGTAACTCGCAATTTACTTCTTAAAATTTCAATGAGCAATTTAATGTGTGCAAAGCAATTTTAAATAGAAATAAGTTTAATTACATTTTTAAGCGATTACCGGTGCCCAAGAACAATTACACCATCTGATGGTTTGGAAATACAATCTTTTAACAACCATTTTTTTAATAACGAAAAACAAAATCGACTTCAAATATCTCGCTCTGTATTCATTTTATAATTGATTTTCATTAGTTCCCCAAGTATCTCCGGAGTCCAAGATCCAATACGAATGAAATAATGGGAATAACGGGGCCACACGGGAAGCACCAACTTTCAAATAAAAAAAGAATCATCAAAATCGATTCAATCAGTCGAAAGTTCTGACGTAACAAACATAAAAATAACAGTCGAATTGAGAACCTCCTCATTTTGAAGTCGGCTAAAAAGTGTTCACAGTTAGGTACCTCACTCACCAGACTAAACGCAAAAGTATATCTTCACTACGGTCTTCTGCTTGGCCGCGGTATCCTCGGATGAGTTGCTCGAGTTGCTGCGTGGCCTTACCACAGTAAAAATATTAACAGATTCTAAAAGTGCACTGGGACATTGAGCTGTGAGATATTTACTAAATCGTTTTTAGTAAGTACCGGATATTGCGATGCTGTGAAATGTGTGTAGTAGGTACACGTATCGTACTTTGTATACAACGAATATGTGACTTAAACGAAATAAAAAAATACGAAACAGTATCATCAAAATTCCAAAACAGTTTTGGCAAACATACCTTAAGTGTCACTGACCTTTGTGTAACTAAAAACAGAATCCAACAGATCTATTTATTCAAATCGAAATGCGTGAACATCCTATGCTATTTATTATATTTAATATATTCAGAATAATGCAGAGTTGGTATCGCCATTCTTCGCGGGGATCCGTACATAGATTTCGAATTAAAAATTCCTTAATTGTTAGAAACTTTATTATTATTGTTTTTTAATCCAGTGCACTTAACAGTAAATAAAAATAAAACAAGAGATAATATTCTGTTATATCCATATACTATACAAATTTGTACGTAAATATATTCACATTTCGTTCATTTGTTTAGTTCAAAATCTGAAAAGTCATAAACCTGTCGCTGACCACGGTATATAAATGCGAGACAACTTTCCTTTTCTTATTTTGCATTTTTTCTCTTAGTCTTGATGAAACGTTAAGTTTTCGTTTGTCAAACAGAAAATTTCTTTATTCAACATAGGCTTATTTTATTAAGCTCTTATTGTTATTGAGCATGGTAGGAAGTTTAAGTTGCCCAAATGATTTTGTCCTTAGCTGCATATCTTCTACCTAGAGTAGTGACTAACGATGTAGTATTTGTAGCGCTTTATAGATCCATGCGCACTAAACTAAATTCAACTTAAAAAATTTAAAAACCGGCCCAGTGCGAGTCGGACTCGCGCATTAAGGGTTCCGTACCCTTATCTATAAACACAGATCAGACAAACAGAGTAATCACTAACCATCAGGTAAAATGTTGGCCCATTTTCCACCTTCTCTGATAAACAATTATAAACACGATGAAATCAAAAACTAGGTAGGTTTCATTAGTATGATTTAGCCCATTAAATTTGAAGCAAGCTTCTGAAGTACGTCCTTAAGACTGTAAGTTAAATCATCATATTTATATATCAGATGAGATTTATTTTTATGTTTCATTGCTTAGCGACCCCCCCCCCCCCCCCCTGGCATCGCACGGGTGGAATGTATTATACATATAAACCTTCGTCTTGAATCACTCTACCTAGTAAAAAAACCGCATTAAGATCCGTTGCGTAGTTTTAAACATCTAAGCATACATACTCGTGGGGACGGATAGACAGCGGGACGACTTTGTTTTATACTATGTAATGATACCTACACTGGTTTACGGCCACGGAACGGTCTTCACTGTTACACGAATGGGGGGGTCCGTCCGAGGCAGCGCCACGACCACTTTTGCGTTTCGTCTGGTGAGTGAGGTAACCTGGGCGCACTTTATTAATAGGTGGCAACGTCTCTGCAATGCCCAAGAGCTTGCCCAAGATATGCAATAGTTATAAAATGTTATTATAGAAGGAAGATAAATATAATACAATAAATAAATATTATAAAACTATATATTCGATATATTCTTATTAGATTTTGCTCTTAAAGTTACGGAACCCTAAATTCCACGACTCCGCATTACTGTTATATCAACGGATTATATCAATGGATCTTGACTTCTAATCTGATACGCTTGTTGGATCAGATATTACTGTAAATATAAAAAAAAAATATAAAAAAAGA